GGTCCATGTCCTTCTGAAGCTGGTGGCCCCAGAACTGGAGTTGGGGTCTCCCCAGAGCGGAGCAGAGGGGCAAACACCCTCCCTTGACCTGCTGCTCATGCTGCTCTGGATGCATCAAGCACAGTGTCATCCCCCTCCCCATGCTCACCTTGGCAGTCTGGGCAAACTGGTCCTGCTCTGGTCTCCAGTACAGCTCAAAGGTGACGGCGTCTGCGCCGGGTGCCGGGGTTTTGGTGGGACTCTTCCCTGCTGTCACCTTGCTGCACTTGGCCACCTCCAGCTGTTGCAGCAGGTGCCTGGGCAGGAGGAAGAGGTGGGTGTGGGGTCCTGCCATTGTCCCCCCGCTCCCGGAGCTGCGACCTCAGTGTCCTGGGACCCCACTCACTTGGCCAGGGCACCCTCAGGGTCAGCAAAATCGATGGCTGCAGTGGGACCCAGCAGCTTCTCCAGGTGGCTGGAGACCAGCTGCTGCTTCAGTCCCTCCACCTGCCTGGCCAAAGCCATGGGTGTCACCTCCTCCTCCGCTGCCGACTCCTTCATTGTGCTCTGGAGGAGGACAGGTCACCATGTCACCCCCGTGGGACAGCGTCCCCACCAGTCCTCAGGGCAGGGGTGATGCTCACCTGGATCTGCTCCACCTCCCTAACCAGCTCCTGCACCTCGTGCTGCAGCCGCTGGTATCGCTGTTGGGGCGTCTCTTTGGCACCAAGACCTTCACCAAGCTGCAGAGAGAGGACCTGGGGGGTCAGGGTGGGGGTGGTGGCTGGGATGTTGGTACCCAACACCCCTTGGTGCCCAAACTCCCCTCAGTGCCCACTTGGAAAGGCAAGAAAAGGGATTGAGCAGGGAGAACAAGCAGGTGAGGCCCTCAACTGACGGACAGAAGCAGCCTCAAGTTCTCAAGAACTTGGTCCTCAAGTGGGACTTGAGAGAGACCTGCTGGAGGGACAACACAGCAGAACAGAGCAGCCCAGGAGGCTCCTAATCCACTCATTGATGACAACAACGTCCTCCTCCAAGTCACAGAGGAGTCAACGAGGACAGAAGCTCTGCTGGAGATCATCTTCACCAACAAGGAAGGGCTCGTTGGGGATGTGGAGGTCCAAGGCAGTCTGGGCTGCAGCAACCATGAGATGGTGGAGTTCAGGTTGCTCCTGGGCTCCAGGAAAGCAGACTCTGGCCTCTTCAAAGGTCTGCTTGGAAAAGGTAGTGGAGGGAAGAGGGCTCCATGGAAGCTGGTTGATGTTCAAGGATCATCTCCTCTGTTCCAGTGAGGGCACAGTCAGGGAAAAAAGCCAAGGAGCTTTGACCAGAAGGTCCTGGCCAAACCCAGACACAGAAAGGAAGGAGGCAGAGGGTGGAGGAGGGACAGAGAACCTGGGAGGAGGAGAGAGACATCACCCGAGCAGCCAGGGATGGGGTCAGGAAAGCCAAAGCCCAGCTGGAACTCGACCTGGCCAAGGATGTCCAAGGCAACCAGAAGGGCTTCTGTGAGCACCCAGGTGACAGGAGGATTCTGAGGGGAAATGGGAGCCTGCTGCTGAACAAGGCAGGGGACCTGGGGACACAGGACGGGGACAGGCTGAGGCACTGGAGGCCACCTTCACATCCATCTTGATGGGCTCCTAGAAGAGGATCAGGTCAGGGAACACCTCAGCAGAAGTGGGTGGTCACCAGTGGGACACACCTGTGAGGGCTGAGGGATCCGGCTGGTGGCTTTGCAAGGCCACTCTTGATCATCTTTGATGGGTCACAGTGACTGGGAGAAGTGACAGGGGACTGGAGGAAAGCAAATGTCACCTCCGTCTTCAAGTAGGGCAAGAAGAAGGACCCAAGGAACCACAGGCTGGTCAGCCCCACCTTCTTCCCTGGGAAGACAATGGAGCAGCTACTCCTGGAAACCATTTCCAGGGACAAGAATGACAAAAAAAATCATCAAGAGAAGTCAATGTGGCTTCACCAAGGAGAAGTCATGCTCAACCAACTCCACCAACTTCTTCAATGAAATGACCAGCCTGGTACACAAGGAGAGAGCAGTGGGTTTTGTCAAGGTGGACTTCAGGAAAACCTTGGACATGGTCTCCTCTAAGATCCTCCAAGAGAAGCTGTTGAAGTCCAGGCTGGATGAGCACACACAGCAAAGCCCAGAGGGTGCTGATCATCAGCCCAGCATCTGGTTGGAAACTAGTAACGACCCCAGGGGTCAATGCTGGGTCCAGTCCTCTCTTAACATCTTCATGAATGATCTGGATGACACAGCAGGACGAACTCTCCACCAGTTTGCAGATGACACCACGCAGGGAAGAGCAGATGAGATCAGATGCTGCCGTCCAAAAGGACCTGGACAGGCTGGAGATGGACCAAGAAGAACCTCACAGAGCTCAACAAGGGGATGTGCAAAGTCCTGCTCCTGGGGAGGAACAACTCCCAGCACCAGGACACGCTGGGGGCCACCCAACTGGGAAGCAGCTCTGTGGAGAAGGCCTCTGGGGTCCTGGTGGACACCAAACTAAACCTGATACAGCAAAGGTGGCCAACGGTGTCCTGGGCAGCAGGAGGAACGTTGTGGTTGAGGGAGGAGACCCTTCCCCTCTCCTCAGCAGTGCCGAGGTCACAGCTGGAGTGCTGTGTCCAGTGCTGGGCCCCCCAGTACAACAGAGACATGGACATACTGGGAAGAGTCCAACAAAGGGTCACAAAGATGACGATGGGGCTGGAGGACAGGCTGAGGGAGCTGGGCCTGTCCACCCTGGAGAAGAGAAGGCTCTGGGGGGATCTTATGAAGGAGGGTGCCAAGAGGACAGAGCCTGGGTCTTCTCAGTGGTGCCCAGTGCCAGGAGCAGAGGTCGTGGACCCAAAGTGAAGCGCAGGAGGTTCCCCCTGAACATCAGGACAGACTTTTCTGCTGTGAGGGCAACCAAACGCTGGCTATTGGTTGCCCAGAGAGATGGTGGAGACTCCATCCTTGGAGAGATTTAGAAGCCATCTGAACATGGTCCTGGGAAACCAGCTCTAGGTGGTCCTGCTTGAGCAGGGGGGGTTGGACCAGATGATCTCCAGAGGTCCCTTCCCACCTCCACCCTCCTGTGATTCTCTGTGATGTGTGGCCTGAGGCAGGGACGTCACTGTGGGGCGAGTGGGGACAAGGGACCATGCCCTGAGGTGGCTCCCACCCTCACGTGCTCTGGACTCACCATTTCATACTCCCCAGAGTTGTAGCCCGTGGTCCGGGGTTTGCTGATGCTATCGGAGAAATCTAGAAGAGGAAGAGCAAGGTGACCCCCCAACATACCCAGGGTGGCTGTGCCCTTCTTGGGGTCATCTCAGTGACCCACCCTACCCTGAGCCCCCCATCTCACCCACTCCCTTGGTGCCCAGACGTTTGTCCTTGAACTTCTCGTAGGCAGCGTTGGGGTTGATGACGAGATGCTCCACGCTGGTGCTGCTGAGCTCCTCCTGCACACGACAACGCGCGGCGTTAGGAGACGAGGCGGCCACGAGGGTTTGTTGGCAGAGCTGCCACCTCCCTGCAGCGCCAGTGGCCATTTGGGGACAGGATGGACGGTAACGGGGCGGGTGAAGGTGGCCGTGTCCTCCTCACAACAAGGGGACAGTCCCCAGGGACTGACACGTAGGGATGGAACCCACCAAAGGGTCTGTTGGGGCAGCAAGAGCCGTCCAGGACACGGCACATCCCCAGAGCCTGCTGTGGGGACATGGGACCCCCGTCCCAGTGGGTAGGAAACCCCCTGAGGACCTGGCAGTGGGGTCAGAGGTGCAGGTGCCCACCAGGGCTGGAGATCTTTTGGCAGCTCCACCACCAGTGTCAGGAAATCTGCTGCCAAGCCCACGTGGGTCATGGGTGGCCGGGGTGTACCCTGGCCCAACAGAGCTGGAATTGCCCCACAGTTGCATTTTGGGGTGGTTCCCACCACCCAGGAGACATCAGGGAGGGGGTTTGCAGGACATCAACCCTTCAAAGACCAAAGGAGCTTTGCCCCAGAGCCTGGCAGGGCGAGTGCAGATGGTGAGTCTGGGCTCTCCTCATCCCCCTCCACGGGTGGGGAAGGTCCCAAGGTTCTGCACCCAAAGGAGAACCCAGGAGGCACCCAAAGGAGAACCCAGGAGGCACCCAAAAGACCATTGAAGCATTTTTGGGGAGCCCTGGCGTGCTGCAGATGGGTGAGAAGTGGGGTGAGAGCAGCAGGAGAAGCACCAGCAGCGTTATTGGGGGGTGGG